GATCGGAGGACCAGAAGGCCGCCAGCTCATCATCGCCCTGCAGGATCGGGTGAATGGCGTAGGCTCTCTGGGCCCACTCGCTCGCCCCGATACGCTTGAGGATGTAAAGCCCCTCGTCGATGTGGTTGATCAAATGGACACCTGCACATTCCATGAGTCAGCTTGCGTTCCACAAAACAACACAAGCAGCAGCAGCGGACAGAGAGAGTCTCACCACTGCGTCGGGTGACTTTGTTGCCGTAAAAGGCCTCTACCATTTCATACTCCTCAAACTGCGGCTTGCGTGCCACGGCGTAGGGGATGCTGTGCTTGGTCAGGAATGCCTCCAGGCCGCAGTCCGGGGTGGTTACAATCGCGTGGTCCGGGTGAGACTTGATCCAGCTTGTGAATACTCCCTGTGCACTGTTCATGTACACAGCATGAATGCCATCGCACAACCAACAACAACAACAACCTTAACTGGGGAGGGAACGAGAAGCCTTTCGAAACCAGCGAGGAGTGGTCGTACCGCGTATCAGCGTAGATGTAGGCGGTATGATAGACCTTGCTGGGATCGCCCTCATGAACCGCCGATGTGATTGCTCCCCACTCCAACCGCTCATACTTGCCCGTGAACTTCCACCCTGCCGAGTGGAAGGGATACAATGAGCATTTATTTATTATTATAAAACACTAATATTACTGAAAAAAACAAACCGCTCGAGAGCAACTGGACGGCCCTATTCTGGAAGTAACGCTCCACTTCATGTGGCTCGGTGGAGGCAGCGTCCATGGGGAACCGTTCCACCAGCGGATGCAGCTGTGCGGTGTGCTCGGCCATCTTCGTGTTGCGTTCTGTTCTTCTTCACTGTGAACGTTCACCGTCGCCTGATTGAGAAAAGGGGAAGGAAATAGAAAGGGAAAAACAGCTTCTGTTCCCGAAGAAGTTCGCTCCCCATGGAGAGAGAAGTAACTCCCCAAACATTCATACGACGAGGTGTGCGCTTCTGAAAATGAGGGAAGTGACTTCTAGCTGGCGTGGTGATTTCTGTGGCCTTTTGTATGGGCACCCTGATGGAGCTTGTACCTAACTTCATTGTAAAAAGAAACACGACTGCTCATCACGATGACCGCCACCCACAAGAAGCTGCTGCTCAAGGTTCTCATCCTGGGAGACGCCAGGTGCGTGCGATTGGAAGGGTCACTTCAGCTGCTGTTCTCATCCTTGTTCGTGTAGTGTGGGGAAGACATCGCTCATGCAGCGCTACGTCAAAGGAGGATATAAAGAAGGCTACAAGGCAACTATCGGTATGGTGTGCCGTAACATGAATGCAGCGTAATCGAAAACCAGTGCACTCACCCAAACCCCCAAACAGGCGCCGACTTCTTGCCCAAGGACGTGGTAGTGCAAGATCACTTTGTGACCATGCAAATCTGGGACACGGGTACGATTGCCCACGCCAGCTTTGTGTGTGTGGAGGCAATCCAATAGCGACATAGCACCCACATGTGAGGTGCAAAACGTGATGGGAGAGTAGTGAAGGGCGGCAGGCGTTTTTGCAAGCTTGAACCTAACACTCGGGGTGGTGGTCTGTAGCGGGGCAAGACAGGTTTGATACTCTGGGTCGGGTGTTCTACCGCGGCACGGACATATGCGTATTCGTCTACGACGTCACCAACCCAGCTTCCCTTGAGAACATCCACAAATGGAAGCAGCAGTACGTGGAGGCCCAGTCTTCCACAATGGACGGTCACACAGTGTTTGCGGTCTTCGGTAACAAGGTGCGAGACTTGCTTTTGCTTGTCGCCCATCACCACCGCCTAATGAGCGCAATGAACACCACAACAGCACAAGCTCACACAATTGTGGTCGTGTTGCGTTCAGGCTGACCTGGAAGACAAGCGGGTGGTTTCGCAGAAGCGAGCAGAGGACTGGTGTCAGGCGAATGGAATGCCCCACTATGTGGTGAGCGCGAAGGACGGGCACAACGTCGAGCAGGCGTTCGCCGTACTGGTGGGGGAGGCCACAGAGAGGGCAGACACCGGACCAGACTTTGCGAATGGGAGCATCTTTCCCGGTCAAGAAGAGCCGCAGCAGAGGCCCGAACGATGCTCCAACTGTTAGCATTTTTTAAAAAACAAAGAAACTCTGCGTTTTGTATTTTGCCGCCAAAACCTAACACACACACATTTCGATCGCCTTCGCGCCCTTGAGAATCGAGGAACAAGATTGCTGCACGCAAGTGTTGGTGCATCTCCCGCTCCTCCCTTCAACTCGAATTGGACAAAATTTGCTCGATTCAATCTATGCGAAAAATGCTCTGATTCATCTGTAATCGGAAAATTTGAATCATTTGGAGATTTTCGTCACTCCCCACCGCTGCGACACGGCCACTGCAGGTCCGGACAGCGAAGTCGCCAGGTAATAGTGGTGTGTTCCGCGTGACACTCAGTTTAGGAAATGTTCCACCGCAACCTGGTGCGCTGTAGCGCCAACCTTCCATTTAAAGCGCGTCATTGGCCCGACGGGATCGCAGTAGCGCCTTTCGTGGCTGTGGTCCAATCGCAGGAGGGCCTGGCCTCGCAGTAGGGACCGGACAACAGGGGCAGGTGGTACTGCAACCCCAGCAGGGGGTCGTGGAGAGGGTGGAGGACACGCAGCTAGCGGAGCCAAGGAAGAGGGTTAAATAGCCAGGCGGGCCACACCTCGTATTTTTCTTAGTGTACAACACATCACAACAACTACCACCACCAACTCAACAACAATGGGAGACGAAGTTCAGGCTCTGGTCATCGACAACGGTTCGGGCATGTGCAAGGCCGGTTTCGCCGGTGATGACGCCCCGCGCGCCGTGTTCCCCTCGATCGTCGGTCGCCCGCGCCACACTGGCGTCATGGTCGGCATGGGCCAGAAGGACTCGTACGTCGGTGACGAGGCCCAGTCCAAGCGCGGTATCCTCACGCTCAAGTACCCGATCGAGCACGGCATCGTGACCAACTGGGACGACATGGAGAAGATCTGGCACCACACCTTCTACAACGAGCTCCGCGTGGCCCCCGAGGAGCACCCCGTGCTGCTCACCGAGGCCCCGCTCAACCCCAAGGCCAACCGCGAGAAGATGACCCAGATCATGTTCGAGACCTTCAACACGCCCGCCATGTACGTCGCCATCCAGGCCGTGCTCTCCCTCTACGCCTCCGGCCGCACCACCGGTATCGTCATGGACTCCGGCGATGGTGTCACCCACACCGTGCCCATCTACGAGGG